ACAAAGAAAGATTTCCAGGGATGCTTCCAGGCTTGGCAGCGGCGCTGGGATCGTTGTGTTCACTCCCAGGGGAACTACTTCGAGGGTGATGGATGAATTTAATACCTGAGATAAGTGTACGGGTTTTTATACGCGCAGTCTGTAAACCTTTCGATCGCACCTAGTATGTTCTTTGTGTTTCCACGTAGAGCTCTGTTTAATCTCATTAAGAACCGTCACACGCGCTCAAAAAATTAAATTACATCCATCTTCCATCCACTGTTGTATTTCTCCCACATCATTACTACCGTATAATTCACAGTACTTTTAATATGGCCACGTAAATAAAAGAATACATCGGGTTTAAGTCAGGCGATCTTGTGGGCCATAAAACAGTTCCGCCTCTAACTACGCATCCGTCTGAACACGTGTCATTCAAAACTGTCCTGACATCGATGCAAAAACCACATGCACGCGTGTCTACAGTGGGTCACGCTCAATAAAAACGTTGTTTGGCGTCGCGACGGAATGGCTCCAAGTAGACACAGGACTTAACTGACGGAGGACCCGTTATACACGTTCTGCAGCTGCGATATTCCGCGTTATGATACCACGATGTTCAACAACGTCATCAGCGGTTGTGTCTTCCAGTTTTTGTGTCCGGAATTTAATTTATTTTTGTTTTTGTGCTGCTATGAACACAATTTCACTCTCTCCCTCCGGCGTCGATCGATACAAGAAAATTGTTTTCTGTCAGTAATTCGACGACGGGTAAATAGTCCTGGTGACCACTACGTGCCTCGACTTCGTCGCCGTACGTATATTAATCTTCAGTTTTAACTTACATTTGTCTTTAATTTCAATGACTTCTTTGTGTTTTTGGATATTTTCGAATTATTTTCTGTTGAAAAGATATTTACGCCATAAAATGTTCTTTACGTGATCCACTAATTCTTGAGACATGACTAAACTTTTGGTTTTAGAATTCAATCATAAGATCTTACAATAAATAACACATAAGAATCCGCTGTGCAAATGTTTAACAGCAAATCCCCTGAATTATTTACGACATTTAGTTAATTATTGATTTAAAAACGTGCAGCCTATATGTACATGTGATTCATAAATCAATTTTATTCTGAATGTAAAAACTACAGTTTTTGTTCATAAACGTTACCACAAAATTCCAAGACTCGTAGTTCGAAAAATATTTCCCCATACAAAAAAATATAGACCAATCACAGCCACAGAGACATCACATAACACCGAGTCATAACATATAAAAAGTGGGCTCCTATGCTCAGACATCACATAACACCGAGTCATAACAAATAAAAAGTGGACGCCTATGCTAACCACGCGACGCACTTGGCTAGCATATGGGAATCCTGGATAAAAACCCGAGGTCAACTATCATGTGAGACTTACTTCAAGATTTTTAAAACAAATCCTTGAAAGTACCTTCACGCTGGATTCGACGTCTTCCTTAAAAATTTCACAACTCATAATAACACAGACAATTTTTTATATCAAACGTTCTGCTTCGTAGCTTGGGCACAGAGAAATCGCTTACAAGTGTTTTCCGACTTTTTAAACACCCTGCAACACTTAAATATAAAATTAACAGCCTGTAACACTAATA